GTCCTCTCTTGGACATTGGTCTTTCACTACTTACATAAAGGACCACACCTATGACCTCAATCTGAAGAATTACATTTAGGAATTTCCAGAACTACTAACTCTGTTATTCCTTTGAAATTGAACTTTGATGCACAGGAGTGAGGAGGTCTCTATAGGGCATCCAGACGTTTAACAACCAGTAGAGTAAAACTCGAACTTCTAGCCATAGCAAATGAGTGTGGACGCCTCTGCTTGATTTCATACATAAAGAGAGACGGTGAACACCCAAAAGAAAAAATGACAGCCCAAGGAATACACAAGAGCCTCTCCAAGAAGGGAAAACATACTGCTAAAATCATAAGGTTACTTAAAATCTCAAGATTTACAAAACTAATTATCGAGTTTGTTATTGCAGTTCATTGACTTTTCGGTTCAGATCAGTGACCATGTATCTTTGGTCACCAACAATAGCATATATTCATAAAATTATAGAAGTCTCAGCCACATGTTGGCTGAAACGCTACCATAAAAATATTTTGTTTCAACAGCTGAAAAATCCTATCAATGGCGTGAAGAAAATTATTTCCCCAAATTTCAAGGAAACTACTAATGAAAATATGATTAATTTCCTTAAACATTTCACGCATGTGAATGAATGAAGTAATGTATAAATGGTGCAATGCCTGATGCTGAGTCTGGACAATCATGCATTATGACAAGGACGGCTCCATATCTAGAACACATTCTTGAATAAGTTCTGCCAACGTTTTAACCAGATAAGAATTTGGCCAAATGTGAAGCCAAAAAGACCAAGGCCGACGAGAACCTTACCACTTTTGTTGATTATTTGTGTCATCTACATTGATGAGAATATTCCTCCATGGTGGATGCAGATTGTGAGGATAGCCTCATGAAAAAGTTTACCAAACGTCTTCCAAGCAATATACTGTGACATAATTTGAATATTAAAGAAAGCTACACCATAACCAAGCTGTTTCTTTATCACAGGTTTGAGATGTTAGCTTCAAACAGTTGTATGGCTCCATATAAACATTATAACCATATGTTCTGGTGATGAAACCAATACATAAAACACACTGTTTCTTATTAAGTAAACATGTTGCACTTACTCAAACATTTAATTGCCTGAGTAATGGTATAGTTTCAGTGCTGATCTTTAATTACAGGCATTTAGCTATTCAGCTTCCCAATGAAATGAACATCATTGAATTAAGTAAAAATAATTGGTAGTTGCACAGCTAGAGTTACTTCATTAACACTGTCCTCAATAAGAAATGTAAGGTTTCTAGATTAATGATTGATTATTATACAAGAAATTTGGACTCAACACAACAGTAGAAACTCATTGGCTTGCTGGTTTAACTTGCCAAGGCAAATGTGAAACAAGATGGTCATTTGGGCCAAACAACAATGCATTGATGCAGATGCTCAGTGTTCTACCAAACATGGCCAATACTGAGATATATAATGGTTGTTAAAGGCTGGTATCATACAACCCTCATAGAATGTTTGGTTATTTCTATTAATGAAAGAATGGAGAGCATAATAGGGAAATTGCCTGAACTATGTCAGTGATGTCTTGGTATTTAGTCACAAGTTTTAGTATGCTGACAAAACCAAATAGAATTCCTTATATATATTGTGGAATGATATGGAGTGTCTACTGATCCAGCAAAAAATCACAGTAATGACTAAAGAGGATATCCTCAGGTTTTGTGGCCAATTTTTCTGAGATTATTGCACCATTGCCGTCACTGACAAAAATAATTTTAAAAAGACTGAAGGTTATGACTATGCATTTCAGTCAGTAAACTTACTTTGTTAGCATATTCAAGCATATCCCTTGATAATCAATAGGGATCAATCCAAAATAGAACTTCCACAGTTGAAATTCTAGATATAATTAATTTAACAAAGGTGTGTGTGTGTGTGTGTGTGTGTGTGTGTGTGTATACGATACTAATTCTTACGTAAGGTT